TTTTACTATTTATTGAATTCAGCGGTTAGCTCAAAACATAAAATATTTTTTACAAATATTTTACATAGAATATATATATATATATATAAACATTGCATAAAAAATGTGTCATCCTTGATTTTCACTGCCTTAAAAAAGGCAGGGTCAAGCGGTATCGAAAAAAATCGTTCAGCAGTGCTCGGGCGAATTTAAATATCGGTAGCTCCCTCCGCGTCTCTCCAACATTAACATAATTCAACAAAAAAATACCCGCCCATGTTACAAAAAAAGCTCCTTTTTCTGCCAGATCTGACCCGACCCGACAGTTCACAATATTGAACAAGTTTTAGGGACAAAATTGTGTTATATCGCATACGGTGCCCGTTTAAGAAAATGTAGGTATGTGTTATACAATAAAGAGGGTTAAAGCGTTATAATTATTCACATATACCTTTATATAATATTTTTATAAGCAAAGACAACGTGATATATCGTCACAATAGATTAGACGAGGCACGTTGCCTCGGATGCGGCTCACGAGGGGCTAGGGTCCTTCACCTTCCGCCAGAGCTGAAATAAATCTAATTCTTTGGATGACAGATATCAGCAAGCCTTGTTTATTTATACTTTCACCCCGAGTTATACGAGGGTCGCACATGTGGGACGTGCCTTGCCTGATTCTACAAAAATAAACTATTATGCTCACTAAACCAACAAGCGCGTATGAGGTGATCGGAACCATCGGCCTACGTTGAGAATAATTTTATAATAGTCTCTAAACGGTCAGCCACGAATACAAACGAAATCAATTCCACGGTAAATAAGGGACCAGGGAACCCGCATTACTCCACTTGACATTGAAAAAGGATCTCCTAAACATAAATAATATGACCGAAGCGAAAGCTCCCAAAATAAATGTGGTAATTTCATTTACAAAAATTTTCCTCGTAACGCATACATTTAAATATATCAGCATAATCTTTGAGTGTATAGCGTGCGTGTGAAAATGACCTTAGAGGAGGGTTATGGGGGTGTAGATAAGGTTAAATAAGTATATTACACATTAGACTATTTTAATGGATAAAACATTACGGATCAACTTATTTGTTAAAATCGAGATTTTTATTGAACTTCTTTAATACCACTATATTACGGTTTTTCAGTGAAAGGATTAGACGTGTCCGGACGTAATGCGCTAGTGAATTAGAGCCGGCCACTTATGTGTCGTTCGTGGCGATAAAAAACGTTTGGTCCCTTAACAAAAAGTAACCTCTATTTAGGGCTGCCACGTCCGGGAGAGGGCGCGATGAATCTAACAAGGTGCGGAGTTGTGACAGCCCTGACAGCTGACATATTTCGGTCATTAATCAGCCGGTCATAGATATATGTTACCGCTACTAACTGGAGCTGGGATACCCAATCATCCGAGGAAAAAGTGAAACAAACTTAAACAACAATGTTGTTTGAAGTATAAAAAAACGCATTCATTACGATATTTTTTTGTAAATAACTTTATGGAGTACTTTTTGAATTTTTATTTTATGAAGTCCTTAGATACTGTTGCATTGTTGTTTTGTATATGTGTTTTGTATAATGTGTAGTTTAATAGAATTATTGAAAATAAATTTTTGTTTTATGTTTCTTCCTGATTGCATTTTGAGAATTTACTTACATATTGAAAGAGATACATATGATGAACTAATAAGCAATGTTTATTTAGAGCAGATCGTAACGCGTGCGTTGGTACTAAGAAGCTCGCCCGGCATAAAAACTTATGAAAATAAACATTTATAATTGATAGTTAGAACCCTTCAACAAGATAGTATTGTTATGTTTTGTTAAGAATCATCTTAAGGAAATGAATTTTATGGATTAAGTAACAGGGGAGTATGAAAGTTATTTTGTTAAGTACGATCACTGTACCTGAAGTAATATTATAAACTATAAAGTAGCTTTAAATTTTATGCAGATGGGATAATTAGTAGAGAAATAATATATATATTATTCATAAATGAAACTGATTAAATTTTAATCAATTCTATAAAAGTTCCTAAATGTCAAAAAATAAGATTTCTAATTCGGTTCAGGATTGATTTGGTAAGTTCGTTTGAAGATCAATCAATGGATGTTATATATTATTCGGAACTTAATATATTTTTAATAATTATATAGTGTATATTACACTATATAATTATTAAAAATATATTAATTTGATTTATTACTGGATACTTTAATTAGAAGCGTCTCCTTTATTACGAGGTTCAACGTCTTCGAGACTGCCTGAATCAATACATATTTAAAGTACCCCTGGAACAACTTATTCATATGTACCTACGTACGGTGTTTGCATAAAACTTAATGCGAAAGGGGAAAATACACGAGCGCAATCACATAAGCGGAATTCTTTTCAAACGTTGCTCGATCTAAAAAAGTGTTCAGCATCGGCGCGGCCATGAGATAAATCCTGAAGGAGACGCGCTGTAATAAAACACGTACGACGCAAGGAGCTACATTTTATTTCAAAAAGCGATAAGGGCGCGAGAAATTCCTTTTAGAAGATTCTTGTGGAAGGAGGGTGAGGTTGTAACTCGTAGATGCAGCGCGAACACGATCTTTGTGCGACATCTGGTTTGTGTTCGTTGGTGCCTCGTAAACTGAGCGAAACTGAATTCTAGAAAGTCTGATAATCCGGCAACAATACAATACACCGCTTGATGTTAAAGAATAATGAATAAAGCTGTACGGATAATCCAAAGTATAAAAACAAAACATTTTCTAGAATTTATACGTTCAAAAATAAATTGCAAAGCATACTTTGTGAAACAAAGTATGCTTTGCAATTAATTTTTGAAGAATATCACAGATAAGAGAAAATACACAGTACCTACTAATATTTATAGTAGACGACCGAAAGTTAACTGTTTCAGCTCAAGAGATTCTCCATTATTGTCACAATATTCAATATATATTACTATTACTATATGACATCGGTGGTCTAATACAATAATGTTACCAGTATAGCTTTAATAAGTATCACTTCCTGATACATTATATTGTATTGTTTGATACATCATAATTCTGTGCAACGTTTCCGAAACTTGTATTTCAGTCCATATAATTTTATGCAAATCACGATCTAGTTCCACTGTATAAGTGCTGGGAGGAAGCATTAATCACATAATATTGTTTGTGTGTAATGCATAACGAACAACGTCGCGTCGTCGGGTACAGTAGGAAAATTGATGGAGTAGTGTCAACGAGCTGACTTTGCGGTTAATTATCTAGTGGAACTGAGCAAGACTGTTGCTGCTCCACTAGAATTGTGCATCCTATGTTTAAAACCTAATTTTGTATCATTTGTGTTTAAGTATACTGTTAAGTATTATATTTTATATACTATTTTGTGGTCACCTCAGCCTCGAATGATCGCAGTAAGTAATATTAAATACTGATGTAGCACAAAACAAATTGTTCCTTTTAAGATTTACCCGTTTCAGTTGTATTGTTTCTTATTTTATAACTACTGCTAAAGTTGTCAACTTGATTCCGTTCTTTTAAAGAATATCATAGTTACGAGTATGCTATATTTAATATATTATATTATAGATACTAGTATTCGCCATAACTTTTTTGTTTTCTTTTTTTAGTAATAACTCCCGCTTTCGTTACAAATAATATAATACTTAGAAGTAAATTGTATTTCTTTTTGTGTGGTGATTGTAGTAGTAAGATGTCTGTAGAACAGAATTTTGCAATTTACTAACATCAGTCACGGAATCTTAACTATTGTAGTTATCGATCTTCTTGATCTTATATATGTCTTAGATATAAAATATCGGATTGTATGTGATTACATGACAGTTCATGTAGTTTAAGTCCGTGATACGTGAGTTTAATAAATAAATTTCTACAATACATAATACTAGAATCAAGTAATGTTCTAGAATATACACCACGAAAAATAGGTTGCTACAACATCCACCAAGACCATTATACGTTTTTATAAATTGAAATGCCACCATCGCTCGTAAAATAGCTATAAAGTGATCTCATTAGGGGATGCAGATGACCAACGCAATCACAGTTTAATTCAGAATATGTGCATATTTTATTTCATTTATTATAGCTCATTATCACTCTAATTGTTACTTTCTATTAATAAAGTATACTCTGAATAGTACCGACGTGAATTGAAATTGTATGATTTAGTTTTTAATTGTTGTATTGAAAATCTTGTTATATTGAATAAGAATATTTGAATACTAATATTCAATTATTGGGTCTAAAACCAAATAAATAGTCTTATTAAGAAGTTACAATACACACTGTTTATTAAAGTTTTAAATGTTTCAAAACTATTATTAATTATTTTTGTTTCTATGACAAAAATTATTAATAGGTAATTTCAGTTTAATAATATTATAATATTGTTATTCACAAATGAAGATGATTTTAACTTATTCTACATTTTCAATATTTGTTGGAGTTATTGACGTTGAGATTAGAATACGAGTTCATTTTTTCATTGGAACAGGAGTAAACCGTTTAGGATCTGGATGTACCGCAATTTTATAAAGAATATTGAATGTCTGATAGATATGATTTAATTCATTTTCCTAGAGGTTAATGAAGTTGGGCTAACGGAGAAAAATTAATATTACAGAATAAGGAGATTGTTTTTAATACCACGATCACACTAACGCGTCAAAGTTTCTATATTATTTCTGAGGTCCTTCCTCTATATTAGTGAAAAATTATGAGGATACAAAAATATATAATAGGCAATTTCAGTTTAACAATTGATATTTATTCATTTAAAGATATCATAAATCACAACATGCATATTGCGATTATTGATATCAAATTATTTTCTAAATCTGTAATCCTCCTGTCTCCTCTGAACCTGTATCCACACGATACAGACTTGCATGTCTAGTGTGGGGTTCGCCGTAATGTGTATTAAATGTAAAAGTGTTTTATTGGCTAATAAAGTTTATTATTATTATTAATCATGTATTTACTTGGTGCGGCGTGTAAGGGCTGGGTGTCGCAGCGTAGGGTTGAGGCGGCGGCGGGTAGCGGCAGGGCTGCGGCGTATACGCCGCTGGCCACTGCTGCGCACCGCCGCGGTACTGCGCGCCTGCGCTCGCCATGCGCGCTGCGCACGCGCCCGCGCCCGCGCCTGCGCTCGCGCTCGCGACCGTCACCGCGCCCGCACCCGCTCCGCTCGCTGAACGACAACCGCCGGTGCTCTATAACAAATACATACAAATTAATAGTAAAAATATTTTTTTACCAAACAACAAGTTTTTAAGACCACCAACGTGAATTGAGAGTGACGTCATTTATGTATGTTTAATTGTTGTTTCATATTTTTTTGAGAAATATATATATAACTCAAAACAAACTCTTTCATTAAGAAGAGCATAAAAAAATAACTTATCCGCGTATTAGAGCTCGCCGTATTGATTTTGAATGACGTCACTTAGCTAAACATGCAATAAAGTCTAAACAAAACATGCATGCACCATTTCAGTGTAAGCAGTAGAGAATATATTGCTTAAAAATTTGCGGTATGACGATCAAACTAACAGATTCAAAGTTATAATTTGGTTTACTACGCAGAAGTCGATCCTAGGTAAAGTAGAAAAATTACATCTCAAAAGTTTACTGTATGGTACAGTAAACTTTTGAGATGTACCTGTACATTTGACCACATCACTGACACGTAAAGTTTATGTATACCTACCTATACATATATGACGTTAATAGTACGATGGTGCATAAAACGTTCCGTACTCAAGCAATCGGTGTAGTTGCGTGAATTTTAAAGATTCCAGGGACGCATTCACTTCCCACTAATATTCAATGTCTACATACAATGTAGAACACGGTAATGAGCTGTTAAATTTTAGAAAATATAGTAATGCAGCAAACCAGAAATAAATTTAGAAAATTTTCATAAAGAGCTTAGAGTAAGTTCACTTATAGAAAATTGAAGATTAGAAAAGGAACTAGGAATCTCTCATTTAGATATGTCCCTTATCTCCCTTATACCTTTTAGGTAATGAAATTTACTCAACTTTTTATTATCTGGCTGTATATTGCATGCATCTATATAATGCAATATATATAGTGTGGGATTACAATCCAGTGTTGTAATAATTACACGCTTCTAAACAAAAGACTGTACAGATGGTAATCTGTTTTGTGTGCTAATAAATAAAATCTCAATACTATGTATAATATAATTCTATTCAAAAACGCTCTATATAATATACGAGTGCTGTAAATCAATACATTATTCAAATGAGTCCTAAGACAAAACCCATTTGCTATTAGCGAAAACCAAATCATAAACATTTTAGTTCAATTTGTACAGATAGACTAACACTAGGTTGTACTATTATGTATTGTGTGCTGAAGTTACGAGAACGCAGTAAACTTTCGCGATCTGTAAGTTGCCTTGTTTCATCACGACAATACTGACGTAGATATATGACTGCAGGAGATTGGCATCTAGTACTTATGTGCCGAGAGCCGTGACGAAGCGAATCTGTAGACTTTCGCAAATACACGTCTCTACTATACTATTTAGTTGGTACGTAGATATATGTATGTATTCATGATAGATGTAGGGTAACATGTACCTATATCTATTTGTATTTTTAATTGTCTAACTTTGTTGTAATTAAAAAAAGCCATGTAAACAGGGCTAATGCAATATATTTAATATGTATAATGTAATATGATTCCTGACTACTAATTTATTGTTATTTTACTTAAGAGAGCCGTTACTTTTAGCTAAAAACTAGAAATAAATAGTAATAAGAAATGGCGTGATAGATTAGTATATAGCGGCGTATCATTTGTATAATTTTAATTGGGCAATCTTTCATGACGACAATGTACTGGTCATTAAAAATGCCCCCTCTAGGCAAAACATACACATTTGTATACTGCGGCATTCATTTATAGAAAGGTATTTGGTATAAGGCTAACATTTACTAACAGTATTTTGTAGTATTCTTAGAAAAAAAAAATATAAGAAATAATGTTCTAGGTGTTGCATTATAGAACGGACCTAACGAGCAAGGTACGTTTGAGTATAAAATTTAATAACATTATATTGTTACGTCCAGGTTGCAGTATAATATATTTGTTATTCTGTACGGGCGTTCACCGAAAATGAGATTTATAGTGGTAATAACAATGTATAATTTCACCCGGCGACCCCATCTTTGGACTTAATTATTTGAGTCACGGAATTCGAAAAACCGCCCAGGAAAGCCTCAGGGATCACGGCTTTGTTGTCGTTTTTTCTCCGAAAGTAACATTCTATACTTTTCTTAACTATTTTTTTGCCATTATTGTAAAAAATAGGTGAGTATGGCTGTAAGGCGATAAGCTGACAATCCGCTTAGTGTGCGTGGGACTTTGGGTAGGTATGGAATTAAGGACAAAATGTATTCCTAATGAAGTTGGTTTTTGGTTATATGCTATGGTGTTTACAGACCACTGATAACTGGTTATTATGTCTTCAATATTTTAACAAGCTTGGAGGAATTTGAGAACCGCTATTTGTACACACCTCGTTTGAGTAGAGGCCATATAATTTTATGTCAATAGATTCTATCGTATGTCATATAATAAATAATACATACGTACATATAGGCAATAGTTGCCATTCTAAGAAAAAATACGTTAATTGATAACTATTTGAAATTTGCAATTGTGTGCCGAAAAACAGTTAAACATTAACCTCTCACATTAGAAGCTAAATACAAATTTTAAAAGATTTAAATATAGTGACAAAAGGGAATTTATAAAGAAAATAATATTCATATTTTTTTAATTATACAACTGTTTAAGTTCTCGTTCGGGGCTAAGTAACACTCAATTGTAGTTATATCAATGTTTGTATTGTAAAATATTAAGATAGGTGATCACAACTGATCTGTATGAAATTCTATTCTAACATGGCTATATATCGTTATATACATTGTTTAATGCTGTTAGGTTAGAGCATTTTGTTTCAAAACGTAGTTTTATGTCGAGTGGGTTGACAGGCGTCGTCAAGTCGCGCCGGTTCCGTCTCGACGTCGCTCTTGCTTGTTGCTGCCCGATGTAATATGTATTCTGTCTGTGCCAATACCACCCTACACCTACCAGACCTAAGCCAATTCTGTGCGAATAATTTCTATATGTTTTCCTATTGCCTCCATTTTTTTTGCTTCTTTTTTGTTAAGAAGTATCTAGCCATAAGTCACCACGCTGGCACATGCTAGTGGCTTATACTCGTGAACAATACTCTTGTGATTCTGTCACTTAGAACTATTTTTTAGACATGTGGGGCATTCAAGCCTGCGGCACACCTGGTGACAAGTTATTACCATATTTTTTCTATATCAAATAGGCCTTTTCTTAAAGGTCTTTCATTTCAAATACGAGTAGAAAAATAGCGATATTTAGTACATGGAGTTTAACAGTGTAAATAAATAAGATGGTTGTTCGTATAAGATCCTTGAAGCTTAGATTATGTGTTTAATTTAATCGCATTGCACTCTGTATTCTATCAAATTGTAGCACTTGAGAGAAACTTAGTTATATGTATATGTTACATATCTTAAAAGCACTTTCATAACTTTGAAGTGTCGCTCAAAAGAAACTTAATAATAAATTCAAAACATTTACAAATTAAATAAAATTTATGTAGAGTATAACTCAGTCAGAAGGCGCTTACTGTAGTACCGTAGATACGGAAATAATGTATTATATTATGTTTTAGAAAGTACTCATAGAATAAAAAGCGTTTTATATTTGCTAGGGAAGAAGGATTTATCCCGCCCTAACAAAGTTATAATATCAATTGAAACTTCATTGAAAGTAAATCGAATTAGGATTCAAACTAGGGTTGTAACCAATCCAAGTATCTTGTTTCATCTCGTCTATGGATAGCAAAAGAATCAAAACAATGACACTTTAGTTATTACTAGATAAGTCTGCGACTTTGTACCTCTGGTAATAGTTCATATTTATTCTATTTTGAATTAAATATACGTTACCCCAACACACTATTGAAATTGGTACTCAAAACAGTTAATTAAACGCAAAGACAGACTATCAAAACTTTAACAGTCACGTTTTGGATTCTGTTACGTTGTTAACGTCTCCCAATAATATTTTTCTCATATATCTTCCATATAAAGATTACGATCAGTTACATTTTTTATTATTCTTACATGTATAGATATAGATTTTCTATAATATACATGTATATTTCCTTGTTGTATTGAGAGGTTGGTGTTGGGTAGAGTTAATGTTGACACATTAAAGAGCAGCGCCAATAAAAAGCAATAAAATCGGTCTCAGGGGGTATCCTTGACTCACAGCGGAAGAACCAGCTTGAATAAAGTGAAGATTTATTGAGATAGTTGAGTGGCCACGTCTTTTACACTCATGTAAGTACTCAATTTTATCACGTCTGAGTTGTGTTTTATTATTTTATCAATAGGTATACAATAGGTATATGATAAGTATACAATATACTAAAAGGAATTTGTATTTGGAAAGAAATTTGCAAATACAAATTGCATTTAGTATTAAGATTCTTAAATTGCATTTAAGAAATTAAAGAAGTTCATGGCGCTTTGAAATTTTTAACTTACTAACTAATTAACCAGTTACTATGTCAAAAATTTCAAAGTAAGACTAAGCTGCTGTAGGTACTTTAAAAATGTAGAATATAAGTTTCAGAAAAATTGAAATAATTTTTCTGTTACACACAATCTTTGCCAATAATACATCGATTTTTTGTTAGTCTTGTAAAAAATAATTGTTATCTATGTACCCATTAAAATACAAATATGATTACACCATGCTAGGCGCCATATCTGAATACAACAATCTAAACAGTCTACCCCCGAATCATAAAGATTTGAATAATCAGTACCCTAATATATTGTAATAAATTCGTGTTAGAAGTAGCACGCCAATTGGTTTTGTTAGAATTAGATTAAAAAATCTTTTGAAATGTATACTAAATACATTAGGTACTACAGACTCACCCTTATTCGTCCGTAGAGAAGCTAAATAATAGTTAAGTGCGCGTCAATTAAATTATAGCGTCGTGCAATTCAGACAATGCGGAAAGAGTGGTGACAAAAGGAGGTCAACTTATCCCCGTCTAAAGGTTTCAGAGCGTTTACCGTTCTACGAAAAAAATATTCGTCTTTAATCTTGCAACGTTTAG